TAGCTCTTAATGTGCCACAAAATCCTGAGATTAAAAAAAACAGACTATGGGAAATATGCCATGTTTCTTAAAGAACAGATCAGATAACTCATTCCAATGTTTTTCAATTGTTTTTCTTCCTTCCACCATCTTGAGATAGAAACTGTGTAAATATTACAGCAGCTTTGTGGGAAATATGGCAAAGCAGTAGCAAAAGATTATGACAGTAGGTTTCTTTGAATACTTATATGGATATAATATTGAAGATGAGAAGCGGAAAATCTTGCATACCATCTTACTAGTGCAATAGTATTTACCTACTTAAAAGTAAGTATTTTGAGTTTAGTAGATTTTACCACCAGGTAAGTGGATAGAGAACCAATGTTTGAGTGTTTGATTAAGGGTGCGTCTACACTGTAACTTTAACTGCCATGGTTCAATGCTAAGGAATCATATGCACCAACATTTTGACAGAGTAGGTGAAAGATCTTGTAACTTCCATGATTCTCTAGCATTGAGTCATAGCAGTTAAAGTAAAGCCAAACTGCATTAATTCAACACTGTAAGGACAGCCTACAGCCCACTGTAAGGACATTCTGGGATTCCAGGCTTCAAATCCTTGCTCATGTATATATGTTGGGTGACTTCCAGTGAGTCACACTCTTACAAAGAAACCCTCAGAGTATAGTTGGATTTGACTTGAAGGCACATAACAGTAACAGAAATGATTTACAAACCTCAGCCGCACTATGATATGGAGTCACTATGGTGTAATACCTCAAGTGTGTGTTTGGTCATGGAACCTACTAGGCAAGCTATACTCTCTCAGCCTCTTAGGAAGGCAATGGGAAACTTCTCTAAACAAATTTTGCAAAGAACACCTTGTGTGAGGCTTGCCATAAGTCATAAATGACTTGAATGCATGCAAGAAGTGGATATAGGATTGAAATATAACAGTTTCATATGTATGCCTATTCAGAAGTAAGCCTCATTGTGTTAAATGATTTTACTCCTAGGTAATTGTGCTCAGGATTTCGATCTGAGGGATGTTTAGGAGTGCTGTTTAAACTGCTACTGTGTTTATTGGGAACCTGATGTGCAGCACAGCTAATGTTTCTCTCTGTGCCATTAAAATCTTCACTTGTTCATCTGTGATGCTGCAGAGATATGGGTTGTCTGGGTTTGGGTTGCACAGATTGGTAGGCATCCTGATAATAATATCACACTTGGTGTTGAAGGCTTTCATGGCCGGAATCACTGGGTTGCTGTAAGTTTTCCAGGCTGTATGGCCATATACCAAAAGCATACCCTCCTGACATTTTACCAACATCTATGGCAGGCACCCTCAGAGGTTGGGAGGTCTGTTGAAAACTAGGCAAGTGAGGTTTATGTATCTGTGGAATGTCCAGGATGGGAGAAAGAACTCTTGTCTGATTGAGGCATGTGAATGTTGCAATTGGCCACCTTGATTAGCATTTAATGGCCTTGCAGCTTCAAGGCATGGCTGCTTGCTGCTTGGGGAAATCCTTTGTTGGGAGATGTCAGCTGGCCCTAATTGGTTCTTGTCTGGAATTCCCCTGCTTTTTTAGTGTTGCTCTTTATTTATTGTCCTGATTTTAGAGGGTTTTTTTTTTTTACTGGTATCCAGATTTTGTTCATTTTCATGGTTTCCTCCTTTTTTTTGAAATTGTCCACATGCTTGTGGATTTCAATGGCTTCTCTGTATAGTCTGACATGGTGGTTGTCAGAGTGGTCCAGCATTTCTGTGTTCTCAAATATGCTGTGTCCAGGTTGGTTCATCAGGTGTTCTGCTATGGCTGACTTCTCTGGCTGACTTAGTCTGCAGTGCCCTTTCATGTTCCTTGATTTGTGTTTTGGCGCTGCGCTTGGTGGTCCCTATGTAGATTTGTCCACAACTGTATGGTATACGGTAGACTCCTGCAGAGGTAAGAGGAGTCCCCCAGGCAGCAATCAGCCAGGCTTTGAAGCTGCAAGACCATTCAATGCTAATCAAGGTGGCCAATTGCAACATTCACTTGCCTCAAACAGACAAGAGGTCTTTCTCCCACCCTGGACATTCCACAGATATATAAACCCCACTTGTCTAGTTTCCAACAGAACCTCACAACCTGTGAGGATGCCTGCCATAGATGTGGGTGAAACGGCAGATAATGCTTCTGGAACATGGCCATACAGTCCGTAAAACTCACAGTAACACAATATAATACTTTATTTGTAGCCTGCCCTATCTCCCCGAGGGGACTCAGGGCGGCTTTCAACATATTAAAGGCAAACATTCAATGACAGTATAAAACCGAAGTAAAAATATAAACAACAATCAATAAAATAAATTACACAAGTTAAAACAAGTAATTTAAATAATAACAATTAAATGATCAATATATAAACCACTAAAAGCCAGGTAAGATAGCATGGTAACCTTAGCCCTGAAAAGGCTGAATATTCAAATACAAAGCCATGTTTAGTATGGATCAATATGCAGAGATATTGTAGCCCCTTTGAGACTGTAAATGGTTTTACTCCGATGTAATCGTGTGCAGGATTGCCATCTGAAGGGTGCTTGGGAACACTGTTTAAACTGCTACTGTGTTTATCAGGAACTTGATGTGCAGCCCATGTTTTTAAATGCTTAAATTGCTCATCAAGGTTTAGAATGTGCAGGTTGTTTGGCATCTTTAGCCCTGAAAAGATTGGATTCAAAGACAGAGCTGTGCCAGTCTAGTTCAGTAAGCAAAGAGATCTTGTAGCTCCTTTGAGACTTGATTGCCCCTTTCTCTTGGTCTCAAAGGGGCTGCAAGATCTCTTTTGATACCCGAAAAGGATATGAAGAATTGATGGCCATGTTCTAAACAGAAGCCTCTGCAGCCAAGTTCCCTGTGGATTTTAATGAACTGCAGTGGCTAAAGTTCATGCTTTTTCTCAAGCAATAGGTTTCTCACTCTGTTCTTGCCTGTCAGGCACAACATTGTCTGGAGAGGAAGATGAATGGATGTGGTAGCAGAACAGCGGAAGAAGAGATCAGTATGCAAACGGATCTTGTACTCTGTTTCTCTTATTCTTAAGCAGGTTACAAGATCCCTTTTCATTCCTGAAAAGGGCATGAAAAATTGGCAAGCTGCTGTTCCAAACAGCCGCGAAGCGCCCTGTGGCGAAGCTCCCTGTTGATTTTAACAGAGACTGGGTTTCCAGCGAGTGATGTACATGCTTTTCGAGGAAGAGATTTCTCTCTTTATTCCTGCCTCTTTGGGCAAACCACTTAGTGGCTTGAATAGACGTACATGCTTGGTGAGCAACAGGTTTCTCTCAGTCGTATTCTCTCCAGTCAGACATGACTTTGTCTGGGCAAATAATAGGAGGATGAGTTGATGTAGCGGCTGAATAGAGGAAGAACAGATTGGTATGCAAAGAGATCTTGTAGCCCTTTTCTCTCTTTTTTTTAAGCGGGACTGCAAGGTATGAAGAATTGACAGCACTGTTCCAAACAGAAGCAAGTGTGAAGTTTCCCATGGATTTTAACAGACTGGAAACGGCATTTTCGCCAATCAGACCCGACTGTGTGCAAACCATGTGGCGGCTGAAGAAATATACATGCGTTTCGAGCAACAGGTTTCTCTCTCAGTCCTATTCTTTCCAGACAGACACGTCTTTTTCTGGGTAAACATTAGCAGGATTAATAGATGTGATGGCATGATTTTCTAGCAAGAGGCATCCTCTCTTTTTTCTCGTCAGACACAACTTCGTCAGGGCAAACGAAGTGACAGCTGCGGCTGAATACATGAATCTCAAGCAACAGGTTTATCTCTCCATTCTATTCTATCCAGTCAGACGTGACTTTCCCTGGCAAACAATGATGAATAGAGGAAGAAGCGGTGCCTTGGGGAAGCCAAAGTCTTGATTCAGGTGAGCACAAATGATGCAGAGGCACTGACTCTGAAGGAGAGAGGCGAAGAAGGGCTGCTTTGGAAGGACTGGAGGGAGGAGAAAAGGGGTGGTGCAGGTGGGCTTGGCACTGGATATTCTCTCCCTGTGCCCACCCACTGCCAAAGCCAGGTGACAATCAAAGCCCTAATATATATATATATATATAGAGAGAGAGAGAGAGAGAGAGAGAGAGAAAGAGAAAGGGAGAAGATAGACAGATAGTGTGTCGGAGGATGTCTGAATACCACTGTCATGTAATATGTTCTGCAGTTGATGGTGGTTGGTGATGGGTTAATGTAAGTATTAGTTCTAAAGGGTTGAGTAATTTCAAAGTAAGAGTTCATGGGTGAAAGAAATTAAGGGTTAAGGTATTCAAGAGATAGGTTGCAGCTGAGTGTTTCTGGATATAAGGAGCAAGCCTTGGAAGTGATCTTTGGGAGAAAAATATCTGTCTTATTTTGGTAGTAGATGCTGCTGGTTTCCCCCCAGGTTTGTGGATTTTCGGTATCCTGACCTGTCTCCTGAACCCTTGGAACGTTGAATCTTTGGACTAGCTTTTGACTACGGTATAGACTCTTGATCTCTGGACTTTGCTCAATGAACTCTCGGCATTTGAGCACTGGACTGGACCCTTTGACCTGTTGCCTGAACCCTTGGAACCTTGAATCTTTGGACTGGCTTTTGACTACAGTATAGTCTCTTGATCCCTGGACTTCGCTCAATGAACTCTGGGCATTTGACCACTGGACTGCGGTGTAGCGTTTGCTATCAGTTTTTGTTTTGTATTCTGTGGCCGAGTGCTATCTTGATGTTTCACGTTTTGGACTATTAAAACAGCCAGAAAGTAAGTGCTGTTTTAATTAAACTGTTTTTATACTGACTGGGTATTTGTTTGGTTCATCTCTACCTGAATAAGGGCAGAGCCCTGGCAACGAGACAGCCACAAGCTTCACATCTTCCCACATAAGGCTTTCCTGAGATAGACGTGTACTGGAGGGCGTCTGAATACACACGAGCCTCGCATCTTCCCACATATGGAAAGCCCCTCACAAGGCTATCTTGGCAAGGGTGATTTTTACCTTTGCCTTCTTCTGAAGCTGAGAGAGCGCGAGTTCCTGCAGACCGACAGGATTTCTTTCATTCAGAAGGACTTTGCCTTCCTGCCTTTGCTTTCCTTGCCCCGAGGAAGAGCCATGACCGAGCCCGAGGGCCTGTCCTGGCCGGAGCCCACCGCGAAGGAGCAGCCGGGGAACCTCTCCTCCGCCAGCGCCGCCCCCTTCTGGGCCACCGTAGCCCACCCCGCGTGGGTCTCCACAGCGGCGGCCATTTTGTTGCTGGCGTTGCTAGGCAACGGGCTCCTGCTGCATCGGCTTCGCTGCTGCTGTGGCTGCCAAAGGGAGCAGCGCCGGAAGAAGGCGGACTTCCTGCTGGCGCACCTGGCCGTGGCCGACCTCTGCTGCGCCGGACTCTTGCTCGGCCCGCAGCTGGCGCCTTCCAATCCCGCCACAAGCAGCGATGCCGCCGCCTCCCGCCTGCTTCGGGTCCTGCAGGGCTGGGGCCTCTTGGCGCCTTCCAATATGCTCGTCCTGATCGCCTTCGAGCGCTGCGGCCCTAGCGCCCGCCGCTTTCCCCGAGCCGCTTCGGCCTGGCTGGGCTGGCTCTTGGCGCTGCTTTTGGCGCTGCCGCAGGCCTCCGCCTTCCCTCCGGGACGGGCCTACGCCGCCTACTGGGCCCTGGCAGGCTTCGTGGCACCCGCAGGCCTCTTGGGAGCGGCGTGCGCGCGCATCCTTTGCTCCCTGAGAGCCTCTCCAGAAGAGGAGGAGGAAGAGGAGGAGGAGGACGCCGCTGCCTCCCCAGCCCGGTCCCCGCCGTGGTTCCTCCGCTTCCTCCCGGGAGCCAAGCCCTCCTCCTCCTCCTCCGCCCCCTCTTCGCCTCGGAGCCTGCCCCGCGCCCGAACCCGCGCCCTCCACCTGGCGCTGGCCCTGAGCGCCCTCTTCGCCCTCTGCGGCCTGCCCCGCTTCGCCCTCGAGCTCGCCGAGGGGCCTCCCGCCGCCTTCGGGAGCCTCCTGGCGGCCGCCAACGCCGCCCTCAACCCCTTCGCCTGCCTCCTCTTCCGCAGCCACCGGCCCTGGGCCCGCAGCCTCCAGAGGAGCCTTTGTCGCTGCCCCGAAGGCCCCCTGCCCCGTAGGAGGGCCCGGCGCCAAGCCCCGCCGCCCCACACCCAAGCGCCTCCAAGGCCGCTCTGCCCCTGCCAGCAGCACCCACCGCCCCATGCCCTGGCCGAGCCCTTCGAGGCTTAGGCCTTTCCAGCAATGTTTATTTTCAAGGGGCTAAATTTACACCTTCCCTCCGGGTGTTTTGGACTTCAACTCCCAGAATTCCTAACAGACTCGGGCCCCTTCCTTTCCCCCCTCAGCCGCTTAAGCGGCTGAGGAGGAAAAGGAAAGGGCCTGAGTCTGTTAGGAATTCTGGGAGTTGAAGTCCAAAACACCCGGAGGGAGGGCCCAAGTTTGCCCATGCCTGCCACAGTGTTTCATAGCAAGGAAGAGCTCAATCAGACCTCGTTATTTTAAATAGTCACTTGAAATGCAAGGTCTTTGTTCCAAGTAAATGTATTTACATATTGGGAAGTATGTCATAGCCAAATTATGGAGTTGGAAGAGACCTCGTGGGTCATTCAGTCCAATCCTCTGCCAAGAAGCAGGAGGTTATAGTATGATAGCTGGGTCCGGAAGTTCCGAGTGTTTGCGCTGTTTGTGCAAGAGAGGCTTGGCTAATGTAAGCCAGGCTGGAGACAGATAACATAGAAAGAATATAAGTGTTCTTTAATGGTGAAACCCTGAACAGTACCATAAGCTGAAACCCTTACCCAAACCCGTACCCTAACTGTAACCCCTTACCCTAACCATATCCCCTAACTGTAACCCTTAACCATAACCCCTAGCCCTTACCCTAACCGTAACCCCTAACCCTTACCCAAACTCCTAAGCGTAACCCCTAACCCTTACCCAAACTCCTAACCGTAACCCTTAACCTAATCGTAACCCAAACCCTAAGCATCCCCTCCTTTCTATCCTTCCTTTGCTCACCCTGCTCTCACACCACCCTCTCTCTTCCCTTATTCACAGCCTCCTTTGCGGCATCTCCATAATGCTCGGACCTTGCGGACTCAGCTATCATACTATCACCAAGCAGGAAAGCATTCAAAGCAGCCCCAACAGATGGCCATCCAGTCTCTGTTTAAAAGCCTCCAATGAAGGAGCCTCCATCACACTCCGGGGAAGAGAGTTCCACTGCTGAACAGCTCTCACCGTTCAGAAGTCCTTCCTCATGTGTCCTGTAGCTTGAAGCCATTGTTCCCCATCCAAAACAAGCTTGTTCCCTGCTCCCTATGAATTCCTCTCACATATTTATACATGGCCATCATGTCTCCTCTCAGCCTTCTCTTCTGCAGGCTAAACATACCCAGCTCTTTAAACCACTCCTCATAGAGTGGTGGTTCCCAACCTTTTTTTGACCAGGGACCACTCTCCCAACATTAGTACCAAAAGGGTTAAGAATCAGGTTTTGGTCAACTTTAGATTTGATTTGGTGTGCTGATTCAGAAAATTGTATTCGATAGACCACATCAGCTCTAGTTTCTCATACAGAACATATGCCATGATTAGTGACAGGGAAAGAGTGGCAGGCAGTACAAAAGGAGCGGAAATAAAGTGGAATGCGGCTCGCTGACCAGAGTTTTGTCCTTGCGGCCCACTGGTGGTTTTTGGCCCACAGGTTAAGAGCCACTGTTGTCAAGCTTGTTCTCCAGACCCTTGATCATTTTAGTTGCTCTCCTCTGGACACATTCTAGCTTGCCCACAACTCCGTTCAATTGTGGTGCCCAGAATTGGACATAGTATTCCAAGGCAGAATAGAGGGGTAGCATGAATTCTCTGGATCTAGACACTATACACCTATTTACGCAGGCCAAAATCCCATTGGCTTTTTTAGCCACTGCATCACATTGTTGGCTCATGTCCATGGGGACTCAAAGATCTTTTGAAGACATACTGCTATCAAGCCAGGCATCCCTCATTCTGTTTCTTTGCATTTCATTTTTTCCTGCATAAGTGGAGTAGCTAGCATTTGTCCCTGTTGAACTTCTTTTTGTTAGTTTTGGCCCATCTCTCTCATCTGTTCAGATCGTTTGGAATTCTGCTCCTGCTTGTACTTTTGTGTTATTAATGGAATCTGGGTATCAAGCAGCTATGTAAGTGAGGGGAAGGGTGTCCCCTTTTCACTACAGCTTCTAACCAAGATTAGCAGACTGGAGCAAACAGAAATTTCTCAGAATTGTAATTTATGCTGGGATCTGTGCCCAAATGGTTATTGCACAACTGTTTCATGTAAATGAGCTGTACAAGAGTTTTGTAGAACCTGTTGCTTCAGTTTTTAAGCATTCTGTTTTTGAATACCATTGTTACAAATGTTATCTCTCATTTTTAAGAGAAAAGTATACAAATAAGAAGGGCTATTGTTGCTATGCAAATAGACTGTACATATGAGCTCACTTCTTAATTCTGTCAGGCTCAATGCAGTTGTTGCAAATAAAGGAATGGCTTCATATGATAAACCAGTTTTGTGCAGGGAGAATATGGTGCCAGTAATCTCTTCTCATTGTGGTTTATTTGCATAGTACTTTCCATGAACTGTCACGAAGCCAGGTCAATGTGGGCTGATGATGATTTAAAAAAAACAGGTAAAAAAATGCCTTACAAAACTGAAAAGCCTGTCAGCACAATTGTTCTCCTGCAATTTTGCTATAATACATGACTTTTGGCACAGGTTAAAATGTCTTGAATATAAGCAGGCTGCTCAGCAGGGGCTGCTGCAGTTGTAGAAACTTCTGAGGAAGAGTAATGGCTTTTATCTTGCTGTTGAAGGACTACTACGTGCACTTTCTTGAAAGTAAAGCCCAATGAATTCAATGGGATTTACTTTTAAACATATGTACCCAGGCTTCTGCTGTTTTAATATAATACTAGAATTTATCACAATAAGGTTAATTAAAAAAAACATTCACAGAAATTGCTTCTGACAACTAGGTATATCACTAGGATATTTTTTTTTATCGTGTCAGAAGCAAATTGAGAATGTACTGCAAGTTCCTTCTGGTGTGAGAGAATCAGCCGTTTGCACAGACGTTGCCCAGGGGATACCCGGATGTGTTACCATCCTGTGGGAGGCTTCTCTCATGTCCCCACATGGGAAGCTGGGGCTGAAAGACAGGAGCTTATCCCATCTCGCAGATTCAAACCACCAACCTTCAGGTCAGCCGGCACAAGGATTTAATCCATTACACCACCAGATACACAACACTCTTTATTGCACTTCTTTTACCATTTCTATATAAAGAGCCTGTTTCCCAGATACAGACACACCTTTGTGTACTTTGTTTTAATTAACATTGGCCTCTTGATAAAACTCTTAATTCAAATACTATTAGGATGTGCTGGCAGAAGGGAAGGGAGCGTAAGATCACAATTTACAAAGAAAAAAATAGATTTCAAAATGAGCATTTAGATCTGTGTAGGAGATGTAACTTTAAAATAATTAGAATACAAAAGCATTGAGACTGGATAAAAATAAAAAGTGCCAATTTGAACACAACTTAAGCCATTAGGCAGAACTGAAACAAATCCCTGATATGACTCCTGCTGCTCTTGAGGAATTGAGCTTTTCTTTGTGGATTCTATGCCTTCAAGAAATTTCTGACTTATGCCAATCTGATCATGTTTTTTTCTTGACAAGATTTGTTCAGAAATGTTTCCTCATTCTCTTTCTCTGAAGCTGCGAGAAAGTGACCAGTCCAAGATCATCCAGTGAGTTTCCATGCCAAGCACACATTCAAGCTCTGGTCTCAGAGGCTTAGTGAAACACACAAAGCACTATACCACAATTTTTATTGCAAGCTTGAAGAGAAAGATACAAATTGTGAAGAATTACACTTTGCCCTGCTTTACTTTGCTTTAGTCCACTCTGTTTTTGGAAACCCCACCCATTTCCATAGTGCTAGAAGGGCACTGCGTGTATCTCTTAATTTACACTTCACTTTTACATTTGGTTGTCTCGCTCAAAGTAATGTTATTTTTGTTGGTTTTGGAGGGAGCTGTCATATGGGTGTGCCACCTCAGTAAATAAAAGAAGCATTATGCAGCCACCTCAGTAAATAAAAGAAGCACAATTCTTCACCAAGCTGGACACACACCAATATTTTTTTTGTCTTGGCTTGCAAGCACATCTGGCTGATATAGGTCTCCATGGCAACCCTATAGTAGCCTCTTGTGGTGGCAGGTGGCTCTTTCACACTTATTGTGAAGTCATTATCTCAGATGTAACTCCCATCAGCCCTGGACTTAATCAGGCTGCAATCCACATCCCATCTCTGCCTAGCAAGAAGAAATGGATGTTGAGCCTGGGAAGTAGGCTGAGCAGCATCAGCATAATTGGTTAGGGGAGCCACACCTTCAGTCATAGGTGGGATTGATGTGGCTCTCTAGGTGTGGCTGAACTTGCAACTGCCATTATCCTCTATCTCCCCCTCCCCCGCCAGTATTTTAATTTGGGTCATGAAGGGTATGCATATGAGGTTTGGTTCAGATTCGTCTTGGAATAGCTCTCTGGATATGGCTGGACTCCAACCCTCATCATCCTTTATTAATCCTCCAGACTGTATCATGTTGTAATTTGTATCAGCCCCAGATCTGCTTGACTGCAACCCTCATGATCCCCAAGTTTTGACCAACTGCAATTCCCATCATTCTGAGATCTAGACAGCTGCAACTCCTAACAGCCCATAACTTGGCTAGACTAGAACTTCCAGCAGCTCTAGATCTGGCTGGCTTCAACTCCCATCAATTCAAGAACTTTTTTTCGTGCCAGGAGAGACTTGAGAAACTGCAAGTTGCTTCTAGTGTGAGAGAATTGGCCATCTGCAAGGACATTGCCCAGGGAACACCCAGATATTTTGATATTTTTACCATTCTTGTGGGAGGCTTCTCTCATGTCACCGCATGGAGAGGTGGAGCTGACAGAGGAAGTTCATCCACATTCTCCCCGGATTTGAACCTCCGATCTGTCAGTCTTCAGTCAAACCCTTGTGCCACCCAAGAACTGATCAGGCTGGAACTCCCATCAGCACCACATCTGGTGAGGCTTCAACTCCCATCAGTCCAAGATCTGGCTGGGATGTAACTGACAGATGTTGACTTTACCAGTCAGATGGCTGAACCTTCTTGTTGAGCTGCAGCTCCCATCATCCCCAGCCTGACCACCAAAGGGATAAGGATGTTGGCAGATGCAGCCTGGCAAGTAGGCTGAGCCATCTGACTGGTCTGGAAGAGACCTTCAGTCATGGATGGGAATGATGCAGCTCTCTGGATGTGGGTGGACTACAACTCCTATCTTCCTCAATCAATCTCCCTAAACCCCACCAGTATTTAAGAAGGATACATGTAAGTTTGGTCCATATTCATCAAGTCATGTAGGAGCCTTTGTGGTTCAAATGTACATATAAATACAAATTCATATTTTGACTTTATATACAGGTTTGTGGATATGGAATAGATCAACACAAACTGATTTATTCCTTCTATGTTGCCTCTGCCTTTGGTGAGGTAAAAGTGAAGAAATTTAATTATTTTACTGTAAAATGAACAGAACTACCGTTGCCAGAAATAATGTGCATTCAAAAATACTATGGATATTTAGACCAACTGGAACATAATGGTACTGATACCTTAATTGTGAATGAAATATATACGGTAAGTGTTCAAAGTATGCTACATGAAAACTAATTACATTTTGAAGCCTTAGATAACATGGAAAAGGCAGGTATTTTTAAAAGCTCCTAAAATGTCAGTAAAGAATAGCAAAACTACACTTAAAACAATTCTATCCACAATCACTATTTACTTTCAGGAGGGTTGTTAAAAATATATATGTAGTTTGCTATTAAACCAATTGCACCAAAATATTTGGGATCTGCACGCACACTCACTGAGTTATATCTAGTTTTTGCTCCCACCAATAGAAGGTGAGATTTTTTGCTAATTTCATCATGATAAACAAGGACTCTCCAGAATTTGAGAGGGCGCAGGTGGCAATGAAACAGCGGAAAGGGGTTTCTAAAAATTCCTGCATACTGAGATATTTTTTTGCCAGATTAGAAACATTTCAAGGCTAGAAAATGTGTCTTTTATTCACTTCTACAGGGTCCAGCCTTGTATATATGGCAGTATAGTACAAGTATACATTCCTGTTTTCCTTGCATTCCCAGTGTAATTTTTACCTTTGAAATGGGCAGGCTGGTTGGAAGTGTCTCCCAAATCCACTTCCAATAAGGAGTGAAAGATACCTCATTAAACCTGTCGTCTTTGCTCAGAATTAGATTATTTGGGATATTTGGTCCTGACTTTCTATAGACGTTTCACCTGAGCTGCTTTTAATCCATCTATCAATTGCATGCTCATACTTTTTGGGGTTCTTTTTCCAGTCTTCATGCCACCTGAGGTTAGCTATGGTGTCAGAATAGTTTTGTCCTAAAGTTTGTTTCCAGTTGATGAATTGCTGCTTGTTATATTGTTCAACAGAGGCAGAGACCCTCGGATAGTCAATTATGGAGAACAGCATTTTGTTCAAAGACTGTGTGATGGCTGGAAACTTTGCTGCTATATCCGTTAGTTCATCAGGATCAGCAGAGAGATCTTCAACAAAGAGAGAAAGAAAGACATTAGGAACAAATAAACATAAGGATTAATTTTAGAGTACTGGAAAGCCTCATACCGCACTCTACCTAAAATGGCCATTAGTTGTTACCTGTGACTTTATACTAGTTGAAAGTTTATTACCTGTAGGAACTAGTCTGATACAGAAACCATAACAAGTGAGCAATTCATCTGCTAACCCGTGTCATATAGGGCTCAAGATATTTAGTTGCTGGAGGCTATCAAGAAGGTTTGATCTGGTTCTCTTTATTTAAGGTAAAGATAAAGCTTTCCCTTTAACATTAAGTCTAATCATGTCCGACTCGGGAGTGGTGCTCATCTCCATTTCTAAGCCAAAGAGCCAGTATCCATAGACGCCTCCAAGGTCATGTGGCCAGCATGATTGCATGGAGTGCCAATACCTTCCCGCTATTGATCTTCTCACATTTGCATGTTTTCACACTGCTAGGTTGGCAGAAACTGGGGATAACAGCAGGAGCTCACCTGCTCACCGGATTCGAACTGCCACTCTTTCAGTCAGCAGGTTCAGCAGTTTAACCCGCTGCACCACTGAGGGCTCCATTTTATTTATTTATTTCAATATATTGATTAATTGATTGCATTGGAATGCCACCTTTCTCTCAAAATGGGACCCAAGGCATGTCTTATTCATTTTCCAAGTTCATTGCACTGGCTGTTGTATCCTAGGATAGAGATCGCCACATCTCAAGGCAGAAAGTCACTCTAGGGACTACAGGAAAAAACTGTATGGCACAAATATCTGTCCAGAAATGGGAATGTTTGGGCCTGTCACTTCTGTTTCCAGCAACTGCCACCTGAGGTGAATGACTCACTGCATAATAGTACAGATAGTACTATGTGCTAGAATAGGTTGTCACACATACATACAAATGCATTGCACTCTGCAGGAAATATGCTGATTTTTATATGCTAGTAGAAACAAGAGAAAGCCATGACAACTTGAAGTCTAAGAAACTGACTATCAGTAGGTTACTTTTGTGGATGGTAGCCCACCTGTGTGCTGGTAACATACAATCCATTTTTACTTCTTTGTTTCTAGTAGATTTTTATCTAGCATGAAAGTCTAACAAGGAAAACTTAACAGAATACGTCCCTGTAATTTAAATCATTCCACCAGAATGACATCTTTTCAACAGGTACTGTATTAAAGGAAGCTTCTCATCACTCCCTTCACAGATGCTGATTTTCAGTTGTAACATCTTTCCTCAAGTCATATCTTGAGTGCAGCATAGAACAGTCATATACATTATTAAAACAACTGGGTGGTAACAAAGATATGTTTGAATGTACAAAGAAAAAAGGATATTGGGTTCTAAGTTTTTCAGGCTGTACGGCCATGTTCCATACATGAAAGCCTTTGACAATAAAAAGCATATTAATTGGAATAAAAGATACAAGGCAACTTCTGGCACATCAGCTTACTGTTTAAGAGAGCTTTTTTAGAAACTGAGAGACCTGATCTTGGTAGACTGCAGCCCCATCTACACTGCCATATAATGGAGTTTCAAAATTCAGTTTAACTGCTTTGAACTGCATTATATGGCACTTATATAATGCAGTTCAGTGCAGTTAAACTGCATGATATGGCAATGTAGATAGGGCCTATATTATCTTTTTTTTTTTGCTAGCTGCTCATTTCTTTATAGCTCTATACAACCATTTCATTTCGATACAATTTATTTCAATAATTCATTTCCATAAATTAGTTCCATACAACTAATATGTTCCTTAATTTATAATAGAACCATATTTACATAATATAAAATAGAATTACATTTTCTAGATTCTTTAAACTATTTTGAATGTACCTGTGTTATAGGACAAATAGATGACTGCAACAAACAAAGAGACTGGAACTTCATTCAGTAAAGCAACTTAGTATCTACTGATTCATTACTAGCATATCAATTTCCAAAGTAGCTGTCTTGTTTGTCTCTTGCAGCATAGAAAGTACAAAGGGAGGAGAAAAGGCACAAAAGAAAATATAGCAGCACCCCTAAGATTAACTGGTTTTTCTTTTAGTATGAGCTTTCATGAATGCAAACCTATGTAAAGAAGTATGACTAAACCCACCAAAGTTGATGCTAATTAAAATCTAGTTAAGATGCCAACCACAGATGCAGGCAAAATGTCAGGAGAAAATGCTGTCAGAACACTGCCATACAGCCCAGAAGCACACAACATCCCCAAAACCAGTTAGTCTTAACAGTGATACCTTTTTATTACCACCATAGTTTGCTAATACTGTACCATCTTTCTTACCTCCATACCAAACTTTTGTACTACACATAGATAACTGACCATTTGAATTAGTGAGCAGCTATAGCCCAAATTCAAGCTAGTCAAATTCAAATTGTGGCTTCTGGGTTCCAGGAAGATGGGCTAGGCAACTGTGCCATTAGAAAGGCTTTGGCCAACATTTCAGCTGTCCTTTGGCTTCGGGCTTTTATGCCTCTAGTGCTGTATAGCAAAAGTGCGGCTACACTTCAGAAAACTCCGGTACCTTGTGTAGCTCTAAGAGAGAAGCTATGGATATATATTACAAATCTACCATACTGTCCTACTCATCTTAGGTCAATTTGTTATTCAAATGGTAACATACCAAACAACTGTGGAAACCCTGAATGGCCATCTCCATAAGCTATGTATTTCCAGTTGTCAGTTCGCAGCATATAAGTTGAAGAATTCACATCACAGCCATGATATTCACTGAGAACCCAAGGAGAACGTTCCGCTCTAGATGGGACTTTGTCTACTATCTTTTCCAATGCTAAGGGCATCAATGAAAATCCACTGAGATTTTTTGGTATGGGGATTCCAGCAATATCTGAAAGAAATGCCGCAACAATGTCAGCTTGATAGAAAATTATTAAATGGAACAAAAACAAAAAAATTAGAAAGGATTGAGAAGAGACATTATGCCAGGCCAACTGTCACATTTTTTGTCATGTTCTTTTACTATTTTAGTGCCATTTTGGTCATCTTATCTTTGAAAATAGAATAACATAACCAAAGCCTTGATGGATCAGAATTGTATTCATCTCAGCTTCTATTCATACAGTGGCCAACCAAATGTCTAGGAAGCCAAAGGATGAAGGGCAGTAGCGCACATGTGATTCATGCTTCCCAGCATGAAGATGCACACTACCGCTGGTTCTGGAGAGGAGATAAATGAATCATGACTATGTCAGAAGTAGTCCAGTGTATTGAACAGGGATTTTTCCCAGCTAAGTTGGGCCAGAATTAATATTAATGAAACTGGCCAGCAGAAGTATTTTCAAGAAGATAGGAAGCAATACAATTATAGGGTTGCTGTGAGTTTTTCGGGCTGTATGGCCATGATGTTGCTAATGTTGTGTACCTTCATGTTATTTCTGACTTATAGAGACTCTGTGCCAACTTTTTCACAGGAGATTCTTAGCAAGTTTTGTTCAGGGGTTTTTTTTGTTTTTTGTTTTTGTTTTTTTGCCTTTGCCCTTCTCTGAGCCTGAGGGTGGATTTCCACGGCTGAGCAGCAATTCAAGTCCTGGTTTCCGAAGTCATGGGCTGAATCTTAACTACCGTAGAATGCAGTTTAAACTAAGTGAAACAATCATTCTTGCTTTATGATTTTGATTTAATATTCTAATTAAAGAAAGTAGAAACAAGGAAACATATGGAGTATAAGAGGAAGAACAGTAATTTAAAAGTACAAATTTCAGTAGAAAATATTTTTTTCCAGCACAGTTGGAATATACCGTATAAGTCACCAGCAAGAAAGGAGGAACTGTGATTAGATTAAAAGATGTGGTGTATGACTCAGCTGATTAGTAATTTTAAATTAATTCCTCTACTTAGAATGGATGTTCTGATTTAAAAGTACTGACTGTTTTCATGGAAATTTACAGCAGCACAGAAAAACACTTCTGCTTTTTTGACATTTTTTCCCCAATGATTACTTCAAAAAGCATTCCTCTGTTCAGAAAAGTTTGCATACTTTAAACTGACTTGCTTCAACCTCAATAATAACATGTCAAATACAGTCAGTTAAACAGTATTGTCATGCCACCATGCTTGCAATGTGACTGTCATTTGGTTGGGATGAACTATGTAAGTGATCCACAAAGAAACAACCCCATGCTCCTTTATTCTTATGCTTTTTTTCCATGTCAGGAGTGACTTGCAAGTTGCTTTTTGTGTGAGAGAATTGGCCATCTGCAAGGACGTTGCCCAGGGGACGCCCGGATGTTTTGATATTTTACCATCCTTGTAGGAGGCTTCTCTCATGTCACTGCATGGGGAGCTGGAACTGATAGAGGGAGCTCATCTGTGCTCTCCTCGGATTTAAACCTCCGACCTGTCAGTCTTCAGTCCTGCCGGTACAAGGGTTTAACCCATTGTGTCACTATGGGCTCCTATTTTTATGCTTTTTTATGCTGTTTTATTGCCATTAAGCTCAAGGTAGAATACCTGAAATTCTATCTTCATACTGCTTAGTTTCTGAAATTCAGCTTGTTATATGTCTTCTTACAATGCCATGGAATTGCATAGCAACAACAACAATAGTAACTTTATTTTTATACCCTGCCTCCATCTCCCTGAAGGGACTCGGGACAGCTTACAGAGGCCCAAGCCCAAGGATTACAAATAAAACAGACACAGTAAAAACAATAACAACAAATAATAAAAACATTAAAAATCAATTAATATCATAAAAACAATACCCTGGCTGGCCAATTTGAACTGGGTTCAGGCTCAGAGTAAGTGCAATGATTCCTTGGGAGAGCTGAGGGAAAGTGCAATGAATTGGCTTTCTTTCTTTCAGCCAAACGGAACAGGGTAACATTACAACGCCAACCTATGGGAGGCTTAGGGAATACTATGGAGAAAGATGGGTACAAAACCGAGATTTATTTCTGACAGACAACAGAGGCAGGGAAAGGACTGCGCACAGATAAGGAAAAGATGGCCTAGAGATAGGGAAAAGTTGTAATAGAGACAGGACAATAAGCCAGGGGAAACAATGAATAGGGTTTTAGGAAACTGTGGATGACAAAATACAGCTGGCCCTCTGTATTCATGGAGTAAACCATCAATGGCTTAAAAATATCCCAAGATAAAAGCCTTAACTTCCCCATTTTATATAAAGAACACCATTTAACCATGCCATCATATATCATGATACCTGAACATCCATGGAATCTGGTAACCATGGAGGACCCAAACCCCTGCAGAAACCAAGAACTCACTGTAGTTCAAGAGTTAATATTTGCCCTAATTGTGTATTAAGAAAGTTATATTTGTTATTCTTTATTACAACGTGCCTGGCTGTTAACTGAGTTTTGATAAATATTTTGGGCATGCCTACCACAGAGAATCCACATAACATTACATCCACTAGTCCACATAGGGATTACATTGACACCCAAATATCAGATTCAGAGTGGTACCACAGTTTAAAAGGTGAATGTTCTCACCATCGGTTTTCCACAAAGGAAATATCTTTCTCATCTCCCAAGATTACTTTTTTTGATGTGAACCTTGCAAATGAACAGTTCTACTGCAATACGGTGATTTATTGGTTACTTGTATATAGTCAAATAGTGGAATCAGCATGGTGTAGTGGTTTCACCATTAAATTAAGACTGTAGACCAGGTTCAAATCTATCAACCATGGAAACTTTCTGGGTGACCTTGAGCAAGTCATGTGCTCTAAGCCTCCAAAAGAAGGCAAAGGCAAACCCTTTTGGACCAATCTTGCCAAGAAAACCCCATCATAAATTTGCCTGAGAGTTGTTGGAAATTATTTGAAGACACACAGTAATAACACCCATAATTGATTACTAAGTTGTAGAAGATGAAATTGACTCATTGGTATACCAAATATTAGTGACACTAGTTAGCTTAAGGTCTTTATGCTTTTACCTTCTTTGTAGGTGAATCCAGATACCCCAGTATACAATGGCATTTCAGCTAAGTGGCTGATAAAGCAATGCCACAGACACAAGAAAACCATATTTTGCACAATCATTTGTAATCTTCTGTTGTGAAGGGAGCAATTTAAAATAATGTATTCATTATTATTCATAAGAATTCATTTTGTTATGCCAAGAGGAATATTGCTTACCAAGCATGGTAGGATAGATATCCACCAGGGACACCACACTGGATATGAATTGAGGTTTAACGTTTGGTCCCATTAGAAGAAGAGGAACATGAGAACTTGCTTCATACATACTCATTTTATAAAACTGTCTGTGCTCCATGGCAAGTTCACCATGATCTGCTGTGAATATGACATGAGTATTTTGGAGTAATCTTGTTTCATTCAGAGCAGAAATTATTTCTCCTGCAAAAAAAAAAAAGGGGGGGGGAGGGGAACAAAGAAATGTCAATATATAGAAGCACTAAAATATTTCTTAAACATCTGTACACATTAAAAACAATACTTAAAAAATATCACTAACAGAAACTCTTACAATACTGTAAAGTACTACCAGTCTATTCAGTCAGCTACGGTATCATACAAATAGCCGTCCTGAAGAAAATAACTCCATTTTCTCCCCAAGATTCTGAATAAGTTTCTTCTACAGTGAATGCCACAAAGCATAAATGTAACAGTTCAGGCCCAGATTATTTGAGAACCCACATCCCCACTGACAACTCCACCCGGCCACTCTGATCATCGGAGGGGGCCCTCCTCTCAGTCCCACCTCCATCCCAAGTGCTGCTGGTGGGCACGAGAAAGGGGGGGGGGGCTTCTCCGGGGTTGCTCTGTCACTCTGGAATGTCCTGCCCACTGAAATTAGAACAGCCCCCTCCTTCAAAAATTACCTAAAAACTCATCTATGCTCCACAGCTTATGGAGAGATTGATGAGTAAGGAAACCCTCCATGCTCCCAACCAATGTCCTGTCAAGGGATAACACTGTAGAGCCACTTTTACATTTATATTTTATATTTCTAGATTCTACACTTAGTCAGTACTTATTTCTATTAGTATCCTCCCCAGAGTCTATTTTATATGTGTTTTTAAACGATGATTTGTTATTTTATTGTGCTGTTTTTTTATGATTGCATATGGCACTGAATATTTGCCTTTGTTTTTATGATTGTATATGGCATCTCGGGGAGAGGGAGGGTTAAAAATAAATTATTATTATTATTATTTCACATATTTGCAGAGGCTTGTACCCCAAGCACTCTGTTTTGCAAAAGTGTGGCAACACCCATAACAATTCATGTTTTGTTTTTAAAAAATCAGTGTCATGCCTCTCACATATTAACACTGCTAGCCTGAAATCTGAAAAAATGTATTTGCTTTCTTTTAAACTATGATCAGATGGTTTGGTTGTTAGCTGCCTTGAGTCCCCACAGGAAGAAAGGCAGAAAATAAACAAAGTTAATAAATGAATACAATAAATAAATCTGTAGAAGGTTCAAAGATGTAGGTGAGTCTCATTCAAAAAAGTACAGAAGCTCAGAGGCACCACTTAGAAAAATCAGTACGGTGCTTGCTAGTATCCCTTAGCCCGTATAGTTCGTGGCTATGAAGTCTGAAGGATCCATGTAACACAAAAAAGTAGCGTTTCCAAGTTCTACTTAGAGAACTTAATTTCCTGTGTGGCAGGGAGTTGAACTTTATGTCCCTTGTAATCTCTTCCAACTGTTTGATTCTATGAGTCTAATTTATATATTTTAATGTGGCTGTTTCCTTTATGTCACCGACACCAGCAAAAGACTTAAAATGTTGTGTGGGTCACGTACAGAGACTGAGCAGCTTGGAACTTTAGAATGTTCAAGAATGCTTTTGCGACCCTTCACAGGTCTACAGTCAGCCACCTTTTCATGGTAAAGAGAAAATCAGAGGGGTGTACACATCTTGTTACAAAAATGATACCTTGATGTGATGCAGATCCAAGTGCTGGGCAATCACAGAACTACTGCTGACAGTTTGCCCCATGTGCATATGACAAAGATGCGATCTTGGACTGCAATATGCAAAGGACATATTGAAGTCCTGTGAATAATTGAATATTTGAGCTGTCTTCATGAGTTCAGATTCATATTCCTTAAGCAAAGTAAAGTGGCACACATCAAAGAGATTTTTGAAGGAAAGATTTTTTGAAACTTTTTACAAAATTTCATTTTGACCCTAGGGCTCAGGAGGCTCTGAACACGGCAAATATGCTCCTTACAACCCTTGAGATTTTGAGGCATTTTGGAGCGAGAAAAATTGTATTTTTTTAATTAAAAAAAAACAGACCTCTGGAGACTGCATGAGGTCCATGGATCACACTTTACTCACTCTAGATCTAAATAAAAAAATCAAATAAATACCACCATATAACACCTTTAAGTGCTTTCCAGAAATGTTCTTTTCAAGACTCAGTCCTTATACTTCATAGGATGTATTGTCAGCACTGAAGCATTCATACAGCAAGGAAATGTTTTCAATGTCAATAAGAGAATTAGATTAGGAATCACCAACCTAGCATAGCATCAGTTTCTGCGCACATGGCATAATAGTGTGCTCGGATACTGCGGATTTCTTTTTCAGTAAATGTCCCAGTGCAGTTCTTGGTGTAAGAAGAATAATAATCTACTGGGTGCATCTCTGAAAATGGTGACCATTTTGGAATCTTGATGGCTTCATATTTCACCTGATAACAAGGCAGAACTATGTTAATTTGGCAATATATAATTCCTGTAGATTTACAGTAGCTTTCTGTAGTGTCTGTAGTGATGTGCATGTCTTGAAAGACCAAGTGGTGGTTCCTCTTCTGTAGACTGATGACTTGACTGCGAAGAAAAACCTGGATCACTTTCAAATAACTTACAAGTAAAGACAGGGATTGGACTCATCCCTAAATGGCATAGCTACCAATGCTGCCTTTCAAAATAATAAACTGCAACTTGTTGATGTTTGCCTTCAAGTTATTTCTGATTTAAAGGTGAACCTATTGATAGTGCTGTGATTTTACATTCATGTTTGATGAAAAGAGGGTGAGAATAGACGACCCATGGGGTTCCTATTTAGAAAAGAAAGTACAGAGAATAGAAATCTGTTTTCTCAATCTGTCGAGGAAGAGTACCCAGTAGCGCAATGGGTTAAACCATTGTGCTAGCAGGACTGCTGACCAAAAGGTCAGCAGTTCGAATCCAGGGAGTGGGGTGAGCTCTGGTCTGTCAGCTCCAGCTTCTCCTGCGGGGACATGAGAGAAGCCTTTCACAGGATGGTAAAACATCAGGTCATCCCCTGGGCAACGTCCTTGCAGACTGCCAATTCCCTCACACCAGAAGCGACTTGCAGTTTCTCAAATTGCTTCTGACATGAAGAAAAAGAAAAGCACAGAGATATATGAGCAAAGGAGCTTAAAATTGATAACACATTCTTTTGCTCCCTGTCTAGCACAAAACCAATTAGTAAAGGACAGATAAATGAGTAAAAGATCTTCATTACAAACATTCACCTAATTTTGTGTTAATTTCTTGTTATCTGGAAATTATTTCTGATGAATGTGTATAATAGGGTTGTCCTAAATGATGTAATGCTGTTTTGCTGTCTGCATCCCACTCTGAGATAACTTTTCAATGAAATAAATAAATAAAAATGTTTACATAGTAGTATAGTTCTCTGGCCTGGATGGTTTGTAACCTGTAATCTGGCATAAGGTTGACAACAGTAGGAAATTGAGGCAAAGTAAACAAAGGAACCACACATTGATTTGGTTTGGTTAGACTTATGCTAAATTACAAAACAGCAGGAGAAGAGGTCATGCCAAAAGGTTCATGGAAAATGAGGGTTTTTTTTCCCTAAAGGAGAGTGCCCAGACAAGTTCTCCATGGAAAAGAATATCAGAACAAAGAGTTCCCCATTCATTGCTATTCCTAGCAGGGTTCCATGCCACAATGTTGCAGGCCTTTTGAGGGATTACTTCAAGCATTCCTTCTCCTATTATACTGCCTATTTCATTTTTTCTCTCAGTGCCAACGATTCAAAGAGCACAGGCATGGAACCGAAGCCAGAACAATCTGTAGCTACAAGATATTGTTGGTTTTAAAGGGATTATCTCACAGCCTCCTGCTGAAATGGCTTCCTTCTTTGCTGCCACCAGCTCTCCTGTGTACAGTAACTGCTCCCTAACCATGCAGTCCCAACCATACAAATGCCTATACAAGTTCTCTGAAACACAGCCTTTCCCTACAAAATCATATTAGGTCTTTGCCCGCTTATTATGACTCCTGGGTCTCAGAACAAAGCCGTTTGCCTCAAACAAGGCTCCAGCTGATCTGCTGCTGTAGAGGCCATCTGCTTAGCAACATGGAAACATCATGCTCTGAGCAAATTCACCAAACAGAGTCTGCTTCACTGCTAAGCTCCATTCCAACCTAGACAGGGCATTGCAATCCCAACTGCCATGCAATTAATTCTAGATGCCCAGCGGCTTTCTGGCAGACAGTAAACTTACAAATACTCCATGGCAAAAGCATGTTCACAACACAAATCTATTTGGTTCATGAAAACACTTAGAGTCACACAAAAGGTTTGTTCTGTCGACACACCAAATATTTTACATTGATGCCAGTAGGATAACAAATTACAGTTCAGGGAGCGAATGCCCAAGTATTTGCTAAACATGCACTCAAATTGACTGTTTTAACAAGTATAGTGCCAAACTGGATAGATGTGCACCAAATATCAGTTTTCTTCAGGCCCGTCAATGCCATAGCCAGGCAAGTTGACATTGAGTATCTCTTGCTGAATGGCAATAGAAAAAAGCAGTCTATTGACTTCAATTTGGTTTGTGAACTTCTTGTAGGAATCTACAGCCACTGTGGAATACATAATGATCTACTAGAGAGAGCAGAATTTGTCTGTGTAGTCACTTTAAAAATCAAATAGAGAAGTTAACAAAAGAAAGCAGGCACATGGAGAAGAAAAATAATTCTTGTTTATCTGTGCTCCATTTAAAGCATTGCCAGAAGTTATAACTCTGGTTACAACACTCTCCAGACTGGTTTCCATGACTCCCACTCCTTATAGCAGAGCACAGAATTTAAATCAGCAAGATATTTGAAACAAAACAATGATTTCATCACAAAAGCCTCTCCAGTGAATAGTTTGCTTAATTTTTATAACTGAGACGTGCTCAATTTTAACTCCAGTAGAGATAACATCTGAGATTTTTGGCTATTTAAGTACTTTTTTGCATCTTCTATTGTCCCATTGTAATGCACAGCAATGATCTATACTAGCTCAGTGATGTACTTACCGCCTCAGAAGTGTACATCTTGAGTTTAGCTCATTAGCATGTTTTCTGCATTATGTTTATCCCTGGACATATTTGAACTGGGGAGAACAGACGATATAGTTCACGTTTAAGAATATGCTGGAGCTGTGTGTATCGCTTGCAGTGTAACCAATATTCAGTCTTTTCTTTCATCCCTGTAGCTGGTGCAGGCAATGTTGAGGTCAGCACTGGGCTATATAATTGATTTTCAACTGTTGACCAGTGCCTTCTCAAGGCTGGACCATAGTTCCTAACTATAGAAGTCTGCCACTCTGACGTCCTATTGTCTTTTTATAAAACCTTTCTTTGGATTTGGGTCCTAGGCTTCTTTAACATTTCTATCTGTGACCTCTTTTGGTCTGAGCAATTTTTACATGACTCCAGGCATATAGATATACAAAATAGGTATAAAAATAAAACATTTGCTGATAACAAATCTGCAATTGCAAGGCCTGCTAAACAGGCCGATTTTCCTTTTTATTAAATACAGCTGAAGCAACTTCTGCAGAGACCACCGTAAACACCTTACAGCGGTTTCATGTCAATGTCTAAAACAGCCACTAGGTGAGGTTCAGAAAACATTTACTGTTGCCAAATTTTGGGACCCCAACATTGATATAAGGGGACCCCATTTGAAGTCAGGATCCACAGTTTAAGAAGCAGTGATGGTTCAGTGTAAAAGTTCTTTCTTGTATGGTAAGTCTGTTTTGAAAGATAATTAAAGCTGTTCAACTTTATTGATTATACCAGGAAGAATAAATGATGATTTGACACATTCCAGTGGCTAGTTCCAGAACAGCCAATTGAATATCAATAGGTATTATCAGACTTCCTTTCTTGCATCCCCTCAGCATCATCCAGTCACCACCACTCCCAACTAACTTTCTTCACAGACATCCCCACCTGTCACCAACTGTCCAAAGATACACCTTTTCTTATCCTCTTTTCCCTGTAACAGTTTCACAACCAGAGTCTCAGTGGCGTAAATATGATGAATCTTACCACCTTATTTACAGTTGTGTGTGCAGTGAGAAATATGGGAAGATGCTGTAGAAATATACCTTAATGCCCTCTAAATGTTATCTGTTCAAAATAATGTTCATTAGGAGTGGCAGAACCACTGTTTCTCTCACAGATATAAAACTATATTTTTGTATATAATGCATTATCCCTAAATATTAGTACAGTTATATTAGACTGACTCTTTCATCATGACATATAATAGTATATATAAGTATCATTGTGTGATGTTACATCAAAACTACTTCAAGAAAGTTCAGTCTATCAAAACAAAATCTCATTTATTTATTTATTTTCATGTCAGGAGCGACTTGAGAAACTCCAAGTCCCTTGTGGTGTGAGAGAATTGGCCATCTGCAAGGGAGTTGCCCAGGGGACACCTGGATGTTTGATATTTTATCATCCTTTTGGGAGGCTTCTCTCATTTCCCCACATGGGGAGCTGGAGCTGACAGAGGGAGCTTAACTCGTTCTTCCCAGATATGAACCGCTGACCTATTGGTCAGAAGTCCTGCTGGCACAGGGGTCTAACCCATTGTGCCACCAGGAGCTCCACAAAATCTGATACTGTCATGGGAACATCTGTATTATGCAAAATGAAACAAAGAATGGCAAAACAAGGGCAACACCAGTAAACATAGCAGTTGCTATGTATACAAACTTAAGTATTAAACATACACCACTTTACTTCACACAGAATGTTAGCTAAGACACTTCACTGACTACCACTTTGGTAGCCATTGAATAAGTGGTAAGAGTCATAAGGAAGGAAACAGAAGCAAATCATATATTCAATGAATTGTGCCAAAACCAAGGACTACTGTATTTGTGTGTGTTTCATTGTTTCAAAGCCTCATGATGCCAGGGCATAGTGTATATGATATTACACTCACTGCTTTCACTCATGTTTGTCCTTCATCCTGTCTCTTCCTACATTCCATTTTAATAACTAGTAACATTGGGTTAGGGTTAGGTATAGGATCATGCCATGAGGAAGGAACAAGAATACTTCACAGTTCCTCTTTCCCATTGCAACCCCTTAAAATGGAATGGTGAGCTCTGCTTGTTATCCCATTCATCAGCAAAAGGTTGAAGACTTTATTGCATGAGGCTGGGAAACCAGCATTCAAGCTGGTCCATCATCTTTAGTGATCATCCCTATTACATGATGCTACATTCTGCTGCTGGTTTTTCACTGTTCTCGTGATTACTCCATTCCTTGCTAATGAGAATGTTCCCATCAACGAATTTAGTGCACTGGATCCATTCCATTTTTATAATGGCATGCCAGCAGTAAAGTAATGTCAGAGAGTGGGATTCTCCTCCATCCTTCTCTCCCCCGCTTTCCCTCTGCATTCCCACACTGTTTTCCATTTATTTAACCTTTAACAGCTATAGTTGCCCATTTTTCAAAGCTGAAATTATGAAATTGCTCTAAATTTTAAAAGTCGGAATAGCAAGCATATAGGAAGGCAGGGTTATGAGGGTATCCAGAAGTATAATTGTTGGATCATGAAGTGCTTAATCTTTTAGACAACCACAATCAACAATAGTATCACTGCAATGGAATAGCAGGTCCATGTGAAAAAAAAACCCCCGAGTCTACTGAATAGGATGACAATATCACCAAATAGTAATTGTGGTGTTGTTAAAATCAACTTAAAGCCAATATGCTGAAAGTGTAGGGGGCCATTTTGATAATTCAGCAACCAGAAGTAATCCTTTCAGATTTGAGGAATAACAGATCTAACAACTTTTTCAATTCTTTGAAGCAGTATTTACATACCCTGTGTAGCCAATATGTGGATGTCAGAAATGTAGATGCCCCATAGTCTTCTCCTGAAGAGGGTGAAGGATATGGGTGAGGTAAATTTAATCCCAAGTAAAGAACAAAGGGTTGTGTCAAATTCACTCCTTTATTTTTTATCCAAGTAGCTGCTTCATCAGTGGTTGCCCAGTCTTTTTCCATGACTCTCACATGTGTCTTGTTATTTATGAGTTTTGCCACAGGCCTGCCTTCTTGCTTAAGCAAAAGATCAACAGTTCTGGTCCAAGCCTCCACACGGTTACTGGAAACGAGAACGGCATTCAGTGTATGGTATTTCAACAGAGACATAATCATAGAGAGGTTATCACCATTTCTCCCATCATAAATATAAAATAAAACAGCCTTTGCTTATATGTTGGTTTCATGTCATAGTGCTCTGGATTTGTGTGTGTGTGTAGATTTATCTTTGTTTTGTTGACAAATGATCAGATGTATGCCTAATATGCATTCTAAGATAGCCGATGTGTACAAGATGAATATGTAACCTAAATGAATTCTGTCTTTAGATTTGGGTCCTATCTCCAAGATCTCTCATGATGTCTATGAAAATATTCTAGAATTGAAAACACTTACGGTCCCAAGGATAAGGGATACTCATCTGTGTAATGTGGATTTAAGCAAATTAGACCAGCATTTGAACACAAAGCGCATTTGCTTTGGAAAAGAAACAGCCCCAAAGTAGAAGCTCTATGAATCTGAATCCCAGTACTGGCAGTCCTCGAGTTATGAACAGTTCTTCATGTTGTGGTGACCCCCAACCATAAAATTATTTTGGTTGCTACTTCATAACTGTAATTTTGCTACTGTTATGAATCATAATGTAAATATCTGATATGCAGGATGTATTTTCATGCCCGGGACCAAACTTGGCACAAATACCCAATAAGCCAAATTTGAATACTGGTAGGATTGGGGGGGGGGGGGTTGATTTTGTCATTTGGGAGTTGTAGTTTCTGGGATTAATAGTAACCTACAATCAAAGAGCATTCTGAACTTCACCAACAATGGAATTGAACCAAACTTGGCACACAGAACTCCCATAGCCAACAGAAAATACTGGAAGGATTTGGTCAGCACTGATTTTGAGTTTTGGACTTGTAGTTCACCTACATCCAGAGAGCCCTGATTAGGACTTGGATGGGCCAACAAATACTGGGTGCTGTAGGCTGTATTTCAGAGGAAAGAACAGTGAAAACCACTCCTGAGGATTCTGGGAAAGGATGTGAATGCACATGCACATATATGGGTGCAACTGAATATTTGCAACTGCTCTGCACTTGGGGGCTTGAACAAGCATGGGAAGTCTTTCAACAAAATACAATAACCAATTTATTTTGATTCACTGAATTAACCCATTCCAAGATCTGACACAGAAACCCTTCAAGGAATTAAGTATAACATCAATTAAAGCTGAGCAGTTTGTAGAATGGAAAGTTTTATGATTTTACCATAGTAAAGAAAGCTTATAGCCATCTCCTTCCAAAATTATCATGTGCTCGGACAGTGCATGAGATAAAATCCTATGAAAATGTTAAGGCACTTAAAATACAAATTTCCCTTGGAGAAGATAGCATATAGCCCACCATTTTTGGCAAACCTCACGTTTAGGCAATTTTCTCTAAAGAGCTGCCCATAATCAAATCTCATTCTTCAGGGATAAAAGTATAGGTGAAATCAAAACAGAAATGGTTTCAGCTGTGGAAGTCCCTGAATTGTTGTTCATCTACAAAATGAATAAGGCCCATTACCTCACAAGGAAAGAAAAATCCTTCCAAAACACATACGGTGGAGAAGAGCAATCCAGTGGTATGTGTTTTTTTCAATTATTTGAAAACTGTGTTTCTTCTCACCAGGTCCAGAGACATACACACACAAAAAGGAGGAAAAATGGAAGCTCCTCTACATATCCAAGAATTAATGGTGTCTAACAGTGTCATTTTAGAGTGATGTTGACACATTTGAAACACACTGGCAGACTTTAGGGAAGCCATTGTTGCTCAAGTCAAACAAGTAAATAGTAGAAAGCACAGTGTATATATACTGAAACAACAACACAAAGTGTGGTTAAACTAAAAGACACAGTGGCACTTTTTGTCTTTACTCACCTTAGTGAATGATGCCCTGAAGTATAATCTAGTTTCCCAAATTTCTGGGTATAATAGCCTTGCTTGTCCATGAGATCCATCCATGTTGTATAATTTGGATCTAAGCCCTTAAAGTTATTCCAAGATTCAGTTAAGTGAGTGAAAAGGCCGCTCCACATGGCTAAAAAACATGAACATGATATGCAGATAATTAAAACAGAAAAATATTAGAAAAATGTTTTTCTTCTTTTTTAAAATCTTTAACTTTCCCATAAGACTTCAGGAATTCACAGAAATCTGCTTCCACTGTATTTCTCTATTGGTGTAAGGTTCTGGCTCCAGGACACCAGAACCAGTTCAAAAGTATGAGAAGTCGTGATTTGTCTTCCTTTTTTCTTCCAATAAAATGTGTTGTTACTGTTACTTATTTTATTATTTATCCCACCCTGCTTTTTATGCCAAGCCTTCACAAAATAATGTACAAGAAAGAGATTAAAGACACTAAAGATAAACACAACCCCCTTAATTACAATGGGCTGGATCCAAACTTACTCATATCTTAAGCAGACATAGTGAAATCAGTGAGACTTTATGTAAGTTATGAGTGCATTAAATATCATTGATTTCCTTGTGCCTATTTTAAGACAATTAACTCTGGGCCCAATCTTTTATATTTGACAAGGAAAGGAATTCATAAGGAAAAGCCAATGTGATGGAAATGTCACTGTTTCCATTCCAAAGTTATAACAAATTACAAGTATAAACCAGATCTCTTTACATCAGTCCTATAGTTTAACCATTCACAACTAATTCTTAAATAAAGAAATGTAGGAGTAAACAGAAGTTTCTTCTAGAGAATCTTCTTTGTTTTAAACTGTGATCAGATTGTATGGTTTTTAGCCACCCTGAGTCTCCATGGGGAGAAATAAAGTAAGTAAGTAAATAAATAAGAAACCAGAAAATAGCACATCCAGCATGTGTATGTTTGATGAAGCATATGCCAGTTTGATGATTTCTCACCTACTAAACCTACTAAACCGGAAACTACTAAAGCAGCAGAGATAAAGTGTCAGGATGACAGAAGACAAATGCTGAACCTAATCTAGATGCCCTTTTCTTTTCTTTTTGTTATAAAGACAATCAGTTCTGATCATTTTTTCATTGTGGAGAGATGGAAAAGGAGGACAATTGCATGTGAAGATCATTTCAGCAATGCTTGCTTGCTTATAAATAAGTACCTTATCCCATGAGTTGTGGAAAGCAGGAGGGATCGTCTTCTTAACACAGCATATTGTCCCATTGTGTTTAAAAACAAATTGTCAAATTTTTCAAATCCCATCACACATTATTATATTTCAACCAGCTCTCCCAAAATGATTTGTGTTCTGTTCAATGACACAAACAAGTTCAGCCCCCTGCCCATTTCGCATTTTTAAAAATAAGTGAAATAATGCAGAAGGATTTTGGAAAAGAATTGGAGCATCCCTGCTCTGTAGACTGCGCATAGAAATGCCCATTCCTACACATCACTGAAACGATTCTACACGGGCGAAACTGACAGATTCCATCTCATGTGTATGGAAGCGGTTTCTCTCATTTCCAAGCATGTGATGAAGTCCTGTGTTTCTATTCCATTCCACTGCTCTACTTTTAGGAAACTGCCAATGGTGATAATAAGGCAGAAGATACAGGTTTGAGTTTTAAAGGATGCTAGAGTTTTCATGGAGAAAAGAGAACGGATATGGACTTGACCATATATGGGAAACAAAGACAGGTTTTGGTGCCAAAGATAAGTTTTTTGTGCAAGGGTGAAGTATCGGTCAGGAGACAATGCTGACTTTGCAGAGTCTCCAGCTGTATCAGCATCTTGTGATGTTTCCAAAAAGAGCTTGCTTATTGAGAAGCGAAACTTAAAAGTGTATGATCTAATTGCTTAACGTAAATATAATATTGACAGCTTTCTTAACCAATGATTTAATCTTTGGGGCGGCTCTTAAAGCCGAACCCCTTTGCATGTATAAAAGGAACCCTAACCCTTTGTGCTGGGTGACTTCCCCAGAGACGTCCCGTTACGTCGGAAGTCATCTAGCAGCTGCTAAATAAATTACTTTGATTTCTTCTGAACCCTGTTGGCTGTTTTTCCTGACTCATCTGCGCTCGCAATCGGACTCGGTTTGAACATTTTGGCTAAGCTCTTGAGCATTGCTCAGGGGAAGAAAAAGGTCTGCTTCAATACAATCAAGAAAAAATAACTCAATTTTCCATTTGTAAAAGGGGCATAGCAATAGCCAGCTCATTTGCACTTAACAAAGAATTTTGATCATGAGCAGATTGCAACACACTAAAAAAAAAGTCCCAGAAATACCCACTTTCATACAAGTGGTCCAAACATGTGTAATATTTGCATTTGGAATACTTCAAGTTAAGGTTTTTGTTATGTATTGTGCAAGTACAATCTTACCTGCACGGGAAGGACAACATATTGGAGAATTGGTGTAGGCATTAAGAAAAAGGCTGCCATGTCTCCTCATGAGACTTATGAAAGGCAAGGCCACCGTTTCATTTTCTGGATGAAATGTTAGTCTTCCATCCTGTAGGAATGAGAAAATAACTTTATGGCAATTGTTCTGAAGACTGATCTATGAGATCTCAGACACTGCAAACCTTTTGCTGAAACAATTTCAGACATTCTAGACACATGTGGTATACATATTTTATTTGCGGGCAATGTAACTTGTTGAAAACAGGAGTATTTGTATGGACCAGCATGGTTAATTTATATATCTACCTACTTAAAGTGTTTACGCACAAACAGAAAATGACCATCTGATGCCAAAATAGAGTAACTTTATAGAATCTAACATTGTTTAAGGATGCATCTACACTGTAGAATTAATGGTTTGATACCACTTTAACCACCAAAGCTCAATTCTATTGAATCACAGAAGTTGTAGTTTTACAAGATCTTTAGCCTTCTCTGCCAAAGAGTGCTATTATTTTACCAAATTACCACACCCCTAATTCCACTGCCTTCGGCATGCCAGTTTAAGCAGTAGCAAATTGAATTAATTCTACAGGGTAGATGCCCCCTTAATGAAACCAAGGTACACACTGTGACTGCAAATTGCTTGGGAACTGTATATTGTCGAAGGCTTAGAGACTGTTTTACAAACTTACTTGTTTCATGTAAAAGAAGGCAATTTGCCATACAAAGGTCTGACATATGTGGAACACTCAGCAGAAAGCTTCATCTTTTTATGCAAGCCCTGCAAGCAGCAACCTGATTTGCATGCAAATAACTATTATTTGTCCACCAACCGAATTATTATGTGTCATTTGTTTTTCATTCTGGAGTAACACCAATCAAGCTGTTTGATGTGCACTCAGCTGGCATATAGCAACACCCACGTCTGAAAAGTTATAATTACCAAACAACTCACTGCCAATCTACTATTTTGTTTTAGTTGTGCTGGTGAGACCTCTAGTGTACAACAGTTTTCAGTAATATTCAAAGGGGTATCAGCCTTAGAGGACATGTGCACTGTAGAATGAATACAGTTTGACACCACTTTAACAGCCATGACTCCACACTATGGAATCCTGAGATTTGTAGTTTGGTGAATCACCAGCACCCTTTGGCAGAGAAGGCTAAAGGCCCTGTCAAAAGAATACTCCAAAGCTTCCATATAATTGAGCCATAGGAGTTAAAGTGGGGACAAACTGCATTAAATCTACAATGCAGATACACTTGCAGTTAGGAGACATGCTCCACATCACCCTGTCTCAGATTGCTTTCCTTCAGGCAATTAAGTTACAAAAGTAATGATAATAACAATCATAATAAAATTATAAACAAAATATTTATCAATATTTTAAATGTGTATACATAGATGTTTCATAATTATTATAAAAATATAGCATTAGACTTTAAAGTTATATAATCATTTTACATTTTAAAATACAAGTAAACAGGTGTTTAATTTTACAGTAACATTACCAACATGAAATTGGAAATATAAGTTAAGATAATACTGATACTAAATATATGTTTAAGGTAAAGGTTTCCCCTTGACATTACGTCTAGTCGAGTCTGACCCTGGGGGTTGGTAATCATCTCAGTTCCTAAGCCAAAGAGTCAGTGTTGTCCATAGACACCTCCAAGGTCATGTGGCAGGCATGACTGCATGGAGCGCCATTACCTTCCCGCCGGAGCGCTACCTATTGATATACTCACATTTGCATGTTTTCAAACTGCTAGGTTGGCAGAAGCTGGGCCTAACAGCAGGAATTCACCCTGCTCCCCAAATTCAAACCACCAACCTTTGGTTCAGCAAGTTCAGCAGCTCAGCGGTTTAACCCCCTGCACCAGCAGGGGCTCCTATAAATTATACTAGCCGTCCTCTGCCACGTGTTGCTGTGGCCCAGTCTGTGTATATGTGTTTTGCATGTGTACATATGTGTGCATATATTTGTGTATATGTGTATCTATGTGGTTATGCACATGCGTTGTAATGTATTTTTTATTTTTGGGCTTTTTAAATCTCTTCTGCTGTGTTTTTCAGTGTTTTTATGAGTGATGGTCACTCGTTGGCTCGATAGGTGTATTCTATCCAAATTTGGTGTCAATTCGTCCAGTGGTTTTTGAGTTATGTTAATCCCACAAATGAAAATTACATTTTATTTATATAGATTACATTTTACAATTATTATAAAAATAACATTAGACTTTACATAATGGTTTTACATTTAAAAATTTTAAAATACAAGTTCCCTTCGGGGTGAGAAGGGTGGCATAGAAATGTCGTAATTAATTAATTAATTAATTAATTAATTAATTAACAGTACTTAATTTCACAATAAAATTACCAGCATGAAATTGTAATTATCAGTTAAGATAATATTAATATAAAATATATGTTTACTTTTACAAATTATAAAATAAAATATTATAAAATGTTGAAAACAATTCACAAATAATTCTAATTGTGGTTTTTTTTACAAAATTATAAAAAAATAACATTATACTTTGTACATTTTTTAAATGATAGAAAAATAATTTTCTATTCATAACATTCAAACAATATCTATTTTTAGAATAAATATAAAATATAATTTTAATAAAAGATGTTTTATAATAAATAAAATTACAACTTATAGTCTTATAAAATTAAGAAATAAAGTTATATAAAAATGACTAATTCGTATTTTCTTCCAGTTTTTTTTTTTTGGCTTTGCTACAGGACTACCACATATGGTAAAAGGTACCCACCTGCAAATCACATTTCCAGCATTTTTCCTTGATGCTTTCCTAACACTTTGCCAATTTTTGAAGTGTTAGCTATCATTGATACATCATTTTGTACCAGTTTTCTTTCAAATTGTATGAATATGTATATTTTAATTTACTCGTACAAATTTCTTTCCCACTCCTCTATCTGAGACAACTCAGAAAATATTAAAGATAAAGTTTCAAATGAAATCTGAATACTTCTTCTTAGGAATGACCAACATAAAATGGGATAAAAATGAAGACATTTTATTTAATTATTTTGCCACGGCAGCAAGAATAATTTATGCAAAGAAATGGAAGGTAAAAGAAATCCCAAGAATAGAAAAATGGCTTTTAAAGATATTATTAATATGGACTGTCTCACACAGCATATGACTCCCCCTCGATGGACTGTCACCTTGTCGTGGTGAGGGGGCTTGCGCGTTCCAATGAACCTGTAGGCACAACAACTGGAGTCGTGCACTCCCAGGAGTGGCTGCGGGGGAGGTTCCAGACCAAGCACAGTCCGAAGACCCAAAGACCTCAACGGCGGAGCAGGCGGAGGATAACATGGCACATGTTACAACGGCTGCGAAGGCGGAAGAAGGCTGCAACAGACTGAGAAGCCACGGTCATTGTGTTAAACTACATCACCAGTGGAACCTCACTCTGTGAAGTCTGTGTGTTGATCAGTTGTGCACTGACCTCCACACATTTAAAAAAATCCACGCACGGAGAGAGAGGAGGGGGAGGTCAGGAGGAGGCGGGGAAGCTGTAAGAAGGGAGGGGGGGAAAGGGGGGGGCTAGAGTCGGAGAGGCGCGAAACGGAAGAGGGAAGGGGG